TGCTCAGTGACTTTCTCTCTTTATTCCCCTTTTACTCGGCTCTAAATCTAGGCCATTAGGATGGCATTGTTAGTATTCAAAGTGATTTTCTCCATCAATTAATCCTCTCTGGAAATGACCTCACAGACACACCCTCACTGGTGGTGAGGAGACCTCACTGATGCCCTATGTGACTCTTAATCCAATCTTGTTGACAGCTCAGGAATCCACAGTACTGAGATAGTTCATTTTGTGAGTAGTAATTTTATGTGTGGCTGACAACAGCCTACCCCATATCTTGGTTTTATACTCCAAAGTTTCAGTTCTCACAGTCAAATGCAGTTAGAACATATTAAATAGGAACTTCCAGAAATAAAAATCAATAAATTTAAAATTAATTTATTAAAATTGTTCTATTTTATTATCAGCTATTACTAATCTCTTAGTGTACCTAGTTTATAAGTAATATGTGTCTTAGTATGCGTGTTTGTGTATGTGTGTATGGGCATGTGGTTTGGCAGTGCTTTAGGCTTTCACTGAGGATATTAGGATGTATCCCCCCATGCATGGGAGGGGGAAATACTGTCCTTTGTTCCCACACAGGTCCATCCTCCATCACAGTTCTCTGCTCTTCTCTGTGCCTGGGGAGGGTGGGTGACTGTTGCAGATGGTACTCCAGCTGGCTTTAGCCAATGGGAAAAGGGTACAGGGTCCTGGAAGTGGAAGCTGGTGTGCTTTTTGTTTGCATTCTTTTCAGGCATAGTCGGGGAGCAGAGACACAGCAGGTCCTGTGGAACACTGCGCACACTCCTTCATTCTGCTTCACACTCCTTCACACGCCTTCACTCTGCTTCACACGCCTTCACATGCCTTCACACACTTTCATACGCCTTCACACGCCTTCATTCTGCTTCTCACACCTTCACACTCCTATTGTCTATGTTCATGGCCATGTGTTAATTGTCTATGTTCATGACCATTGTGCTAACCACCTGGGTTTCTTGTTTTTCCTTGAGCTCCTCCACATTTCTGTGGTTTTGCTCCAGGTCACAGGACATTTCCCTAATCCATTCTTCCATCCTTTGCATCGAAAAGTTATTTACTCAAGTAGTGCTCACGTTTGTTCATTTATGTTTGAAACAGGCTCTTATTATGTCACAAGGGTGGCCTTGAATATATGATTGTCCTGCCTCAGCCTTTGGAGTGTTGGGGTTACAGGACTATGCCACCACAGTTGACTTGAAATGGCCTACCATTTTCAACACTTGTGTTCTATTTTCAAGGGTCCTTTCTTCCTTTTTGAACTTCTTTTGCTCCATGCTGGGCTGCTTCTGTTGTGTAGATGCAAATATGTCTGTAGTCTGAGGACTAATGCAAAGCTTTTGATTTCTGAAAGTGCTTTTCTTTTTGAAGTCAATTATTTTGTTTATTTCGGTACATCCTCTCTGTGCTGGTGATTTTCTAATTACACAGGCGACTGTTTATAGGAGTGAACAAGCAAGCTTCCCCCCAGGCGGCTGATGTGGCATTGCTGCACCTTCCAGAGAAAAGTAGGACAACTGTTTTACTCATGGGGGCTTTTGTGCTCTTGAGTCATGCTTGGATGGCTTGCTCAGGATGAGCAGGTGTGTGTGTGTGTGTGTGTGTGTGTGTGTGTGTGTGTGTGTGTGTGTGTATTAGTTTGTGGATAATACTCATCAAACCTATTTTTCACACACATGCTGCACGCATGCACAGGAGGCATATTTCACAGATGGCTGGATCTCCAAGAATGAGAACAGATTCTCTATGTGAAAAATAGGTTTGATGAGTATTATCTACAGTAGTCCCCCAAAACAGAGTGTTAAATGCAGAATAAACTTCAGGGAGGCAACAATAAAGGGCTCAAGGAGAAATGTGGTCAGGGTGACTTTGGCTGTTTGCCTTGCCTGAGCTCTGGGTCCCCCTAGGACAACAATGGGATGATCCAAAGAGGTGAGTGAGACATGACTTGGGTCTGGATTGGCTTTAAAGTATAGATGATAGTGGTTGTTAGGAAGGGTGGGCCAGGATGTGTGGAGGCTCGGGGAGAGAATATAGCTCAGCTACGTGGGTGCTTCTTCACGCCTCATGTTTTCTCACAGCGGCCCTTGTCGATCTTAGTTGTGCCGCTACTACAAGCAACAAGATGCTGTCGGTGCCGTCGGTGTCCAGATTATGACCGCTTTCCACCCTGGCTGTCAGAGTGGGGGCGGAGCTGTGAGTAGGCCTGACTCTTAGTCTTAGGAGTCTCCCACCAAGAAGAAGTCTGTCTTTCTGACTCCAGCTTGGCTCACTCGGCGAAGGAGCATGCTGACCTTGAGTGAGCTAAGCGGTCAAAGAACACTCAAGGATTAGAAAATGCCTTCCCAGCAGCAGCCTGGAGGGTGGCACTCACCTGAAGAATGGCTTCTCCCCCTGTATTCCAAAATGACTCACGTGGAACATTCTGAGGGGTGGGAAGCGAGGCCCGTTTCCAAGTTACTAAGGAAGTTCAGACGACCCAGCTATTCCAGAAGGCAGGTTGCACCTGGGGATTGGAGAATGCAGTCCATCTGCGGATAGGTCAGCCGGCCTGGATGCCAGAGAGTGGGGATGCTCCTGGGTTTTCCACTCGGACTCTTCAGAGGCTCCACTTGTGTTAGGGCCACAGATCTCAACCACTAAGGCTGCGACCCTTTAAATACAGTTCCTCAAGTTGTGGTGACCCCCCCCAACCATAAAATTATCTCATTGCGACTTCACAGCTATAATTTTGCTGCTGTTATGAATCGTAACGTAAATGTCTGATATGCAGAGTATCTGATATGTGACCCCTCCAAAGGGGCTGTGACCCACAGGGTGAGAGCTGCTGTGCTAGCCTCGTCTCTGAGGCCACCAGAGGGTGCTGTTCCTTCCCTAGCAGAGACAAAGTATCTAGTAGCCAGTGTGGAGCAGGCTGGTCACACTAGGGATATGAGACAAGACACTACCTGTCTCCCAAGGGGTCATATGGTCCTAGAAAAGGACCTTTGATCCTGGGTTCAAATCCCAGTCCTTCCAGGTGCAAGTTGAGCTGGTTGGAGGGTACCGCACACTTCAAAGGGGGCGGTCAGACTTTAGTAGGCAGTCAGGACACTAGAGTGAGGGTGAGCACTCCTGCCCGGCACAGGAATAGTGCTGGTGTCACTGCCCGCTGAGCTCCTTTGCTATTAGTCTGTACCCATTGTGAAACTGGGCAGGGGTTCTCCGATGTGTCTGTGTGGAAGCCCACCTCGAAAACTTTACAGGCAGCCCAGACCTGGGTGAGGTAGCCTCAACAGCACTGGAGTTGAGTGGTTTCCATATAGGCAATAATTTCAGATGTTATACTTCCAGAAGTCACCATGACAATTTGGGCCCTGTAAAATCCCTTCCTTCCTCTGTCAGAGTTGCCTTCATGTGCGTAGCTAGGCAAGGCCTGGGTAACAGGAACAAGAACTGCGCCTGGGAAATAGACCGAGGAGACAAGTGTATCCTCCAGGCATTCCATGGGCTTCAGCAGCGGGGCTGGAGGGTCGTGGGAGTGCATTATGCAGCAGGGACCCGGAGGCTGGCCTGAAGGAGAAGCAACGTGTTGCAGCCTGCCCACTGGGAGGAGACTGGTCCCTAGACAGGGGACAAATTCACAGTCATCGAGCAGAAGCCTGAATGTGTAGCAGGGTCAGGGTCCTAAATCTGGCTGCTTCAGGTAAGTGCTCAATTGTGGTCTCATTGCTTCACCAGGGAGGCAGGAATGAAGACGGCCATCTCTGGAGCAGCTGTGATGATGAAACTGGGTGATTTCTGTATAGTTTTCAGTGCCATAAATGACAGCTGAATGGCCACTGGCCACAGCGCTAGGGACCATTTCCACTGGGAGTGAGCCACAGAAGAGTTTGCAGGGAGCTACACTTAGCTGGCATTTAGGAGGCTGCCCTTGTAACAGATGTTACCCCCAGGAGGTCCTCTGAGCTCAAAAGTGACTTTAACATATGACTTCTTTGGGGTGGGGCTGCCTTTGAGTGTTAGAAGCAGTTTCCTGGTCCCTTATCAACTCCTCTGTGACAAGGTTGGAGGTCTGTCCAGGACAGTCCTGATTGCTTTTCTGGAAGCCCCCCTCTTTCCTTCTAGCTGCACTGCCTTAATGCCCCAGCTCAGTCTTAGTCCTTGCTGCGCCCTCTGCTTGGACCACCCATCTAAAGAGGACGCAGGCCAGCTTGCTCTCTGGAGTAACTCACTTCTGTGCTTACTCATACCTTGTCTGCTTCTTCAAGCCTCAGAGCTCTGGAATGATGTCAGTTCTGGAAGACACCACATTGTGTCTTGCTCAGCTAAGTGTGTTTACCTGGACAAAAAGCAAAAAACAAAAAACAAAACAAAAGCTCAGCACAGGGTGCGGCAATATTGGGCTGAATAGGTTGAATGGGTTTTATGAAAGTATTTATTTATTTATTTGTTGGTTGGTTTGTTCTTTCATTTATTTATTTATATTATTTTTTATGTACCTGGGGACTGGCTTTGAACTTACAGAGACTTTCCAGGTATTGGAGTTTAAGACGCCTGCCACCACGCCCCACTGCAGGAAGACACATTTTCTTAAACTCACGTTTAAGGAAACTGAGACTGAGAGAGAGGGAAAGACGGGGAGGAAGAGCGAGACCCCGAGGGCAAGCAGCTCGGTACATCCGCTGGCTGCAGAGTGATGTGTGGGGCGGACCAGTGTGCAGCCTGCACCTCGTTGCCTGGGGGCTGGCGGTGGGTGCGGCTCCCGAAGCGGGCGGTGCTAGTTTTGTGGGCGGGCGCGGACCCGGGCTCAAGCGGGGACCAGCGGGTGGCCCGGGACTAAGGAGTTCTGCTCTGCTGCTGGAGCAGGTGAGGCCAGTGCAGAACCATTATTTGCTCAGCAGGTTCGGGATGCTGCGGGAAAGGGGGCTGAAGAGCTCAAGGCATCCTCCGGGAAGCTGAGCGAGCTGCTTGGCCGGGGCACCTGCAGCAGAGCTTCTGGTGGGCTTCCCCCCCCGCCCCGGGATTTGGCTCCACATCTCCCGGCTGTGAACCTGGGCTTGGTGCTCTGGTCTCCTCAGCTGGGACGCAGTGACCTGGTACTTCGCTAGGTGAGTGCCTCTGAGGAAGTAAGCCGCATATCTGAAGTGTCAAAGTGTCTCCAGCAGGCATTCGGAGCTGGTGGCTGGTTGTGGAGATTTTAGGAGAGACTCATCGCCAGCAATCGTCCTTCCTGGGGTGATTGGCAATGTGTCCATTGGTTCTCCTTAGACTGGCTAGGAAAGGGCGCGGCCGAACTTTGGGTCGGGGGCGGCAGTGGGGGTGGGGTTGATGCAGCACACATGTTTCCAGGCTTCAACGTGAAATCCAGACAGGGTTTTGCTGACCTTGCATATAGGCTCCCCTTCCACCCAGGGTTACCACCCCCTGCCAATTCCTAGGGGACTTGACGCCAGAAGCCCTGGAAAGTGAGTGGGGTCACCAGGAGCAGAGTGAGGTCCACGCCTGTTTGAAAAAGACCCAGGGTTGGAAGAGGCAGGGGGTTCATTGCTGTACTGCCCTGGAGTAGGCTTTCTGAGCTATCTTGTGGGATTACAGGATAGTGAACCGTCCAACAGAGGAGGGAGGCCTCCAGGGACACCCCCTCACGTGTCTGAACCGCATCCCAGCATCCCTCCAGGCTCCTTTGGGACCTGACTCCAGAGAGGACCAGGTCTGGCTTTGCCAGTGGGTTGGGGATGTTGTCTTCAGCATCCTCCGACTACCTTTGCCTCAGCTTTGGCACAAGCTCATGTCTCGGTCCTCTTTTCAAGATCTGTATTTGGCAAGACGGGTGCCAGGGAAATTAGAGCCGGGTTGGCCAGGGATCCAGTTCTGCTTCTCAGAAACTGCGCCTTGGCCTGGGCCCTTCATCTCTGTAGGCTTCGCCTTTACAATGCAATCAATGGGGCTGGACAGATGGCTTGGGGTTAAGAGCACTGGCTGTTCTTCCCAAGGACCTGGGTTTGATTCTCAGCACCCACATGGCAGCTCTCAGTAATCTATCAGCACCAGACATGCATGTGGTATGCAGATATACAATACATGTAGATGAAACACTCACACACATTAAATAAAAACTAAATTTAGGGCCAGGCATGGGTGGTGCATGCCTTTAATCCCAGCACTTGGGAGGCAGAGGCAGGCGGATCTCTGTGAGTTCGAGGCCAACCTGATCTACAGAACGAGTTCCAGGACAGCCTCCAAAACAATACAGAGAAACCCTGTCTCAAAAAACCAACAAAACAAAACAAAAAGAAAACTAAATTTAAATGGAGCTAGCATTAGGTAGGACAGCAGAATTTGCCATCTTTTCAGCTCAACCCCCGGCCATGCCATATGGATCAGCCTGGTAATGCCTTTCTGGTGGGGCTGTGGTCTAGCTTATCAGTGGGTCGGCAAGTGAGAACCAATGTCTCTTCTGCACTGTGTCTCCCGGGAAACACGAACCCTCAGGGTAAGGTAAGGCCATTCCTTCTTGCCTCTCTTCTTACAGAAGCTTGCCTGTGTGACCTGTCTCCCAAAATCCCTTCAAAGCATCCTACTCCACTCCTACTTCAACTGGCTCAGCTCCTCTCCAAGCCAGGTCCCAGGTTGCCCGTGGCTCACAGAAGGGAGTTTTGCATGTGTGTTGCGAGGCCTTCTTCTCTGTGTCCATCTGGAGCCTCATCTTTAGGCAGGATGGTGGGGGAAACACATTAGGCTCATTTGGAGTGACTCTGAGCTAATCCCTGGTTGAGATGGGGTTGGTCCTCAGCTCCTCGATAGGGAGAATAGGAGTGTGACCCCTTCCAGCCCTGGGGCCAGAGGGGTCCCGCCTCATAGGTGAGCTCTGAGCAGGACAGGGCATGGCGGCACCACACATGAGAGCTGTTTGAGGTCAGCGCTGGTAAAGGGCCAGATGGGTCCTGGCATATGCCTCTGTTGGCATGTCCTTTTCCGGATTGGCATCAGACAGCTGCAGTCAGGTAGACTCAGAGGCCTGGGCATGGGCTTGTGTTGCCCTTTGTCCAGCTTCTGCTGGGAGATGAAGTCCCCTAGGATGGAGCTGGTAGAATGAATGGGGAGGGAATTAATATTTGATTGACACCTGTGATGATCCAGTTTGGCCTCGGGTACCTCTGCCTCCCAGGAGGTGGCAACGAAAGTTCCCGAGAGGGACCTTTTCCAGTCATCAGTTCCATTGTTTGCCCCAAGAAGACTTGAAAGAAAGATGCTGGGGGGCTAGGAGCTCCAAGTCCCACCTTCCTACGGCCCCAGTTTGTCATCTGCTTCCCTAAGACCGAGCCAGCCTGCCCCGGAGCATAGGTGCCATCCACTTGCGCTCCTTTGTATCACCCAGGAAACGGGGGCTCAGACAGTTTCAGTGCCTCACAAAGCCACTCTGCTGTCGGGTGGCAGAGCTGCTGTTTGAACCCAGGACAGGTGCATAGCCTGCCGGCCTCGCAGGACCCTGGCAGGGCACCTTGCTCACTTCTTACACATGCGATGGCTCTGTTTGTGTGGCAGGGATCTCCGCCGTTGACCTTAGAAGCTCTCAGATGACCTGGGGACTAGGCATAGACTCTTGAGTGAAAAGTCTCCCCGAGCCCCTGTTGCCTGCTGACCTTCAACCTCATGGTCTCGCTCTGGTCATTCTTAATCTTGGTCTCTTTAGTCCTAATTGGTGACACTTGGGCTGAGTCACGTAGCTTTCTCCTCGGACCCTGATGACACCTACCCTTTCCTTCACCACTGGGCTCTATTCAGATGCGCCCATCAGGGCTATTCCACCTTCAGCGTGTTCTATGAAAGCAGTCAGCTCTCTTGACCCAGGCTCAGGCTTTGAGTGACTGGTCAGCAGTTTTGAGTTGTGGTGCCCTGGGCCATAGGCAACTGTCCTGTGAGTTAGAAGCCAATGGCTCCTCTGATTAAAAGGACAGGAGCCAGGCAAAACTCTGAGTGCTGCCTTTAAATGTCCTCCTTCTTCTATCTTGGCTCAAGCTACCCCCTACATCTAAGTGGCCTTTCTGGAATGCACATGGCTTGCTGGCAGCCTGCCAGTGGCTCGCCCATCATTCCAGGCCTGAGTTACCTCTCCAGTGTCATCGTTCCTCCTGCCTTCTCCCTCCTCGGGTCCAGCTGTCCTGACTGCTCACTTGTCTCAGGAGGCTGCTGGCCTCTGTGCTCCTGAGTGTGCTATCTCCCGTCCCCTGAACTCTGCCCTCCCCTTCGGCCATTCGTTTCCTTTTCATCCCACGAGATCTGGATTCTCTTCTCTCTCCCCGCCCTTAGCTCCGTCTCTGATCTTCCAGGTCGCAGATTCACACAGCACTGGCCGTGGGGAGAGCACTGAGGCCTTGAGGTCCATCTGCGTTCTCAGTGATCAATTTCTGTGGTCTGGGAGGGCCATGGCTGTATAGGTCATTTTGATGGTCCTTGTCCTTACCCTAGGGCTTGGCCCATGTTGGTCAAGCAGGCGATCAAAGCAATGCTCATCTCTGGAGTCTTCCCTGCCTGCTAACTCTCCTCTGGTCATGCTGGTGTTGTCCTACACTGATGTTCACACAGGGTCCTGGGCTTCGGTCCCTTTTGTGGCATCGGGGTCAGTGCATGTGACACAGATTCCCTTTCCTCTTAAATCCTGGTCCTTGTGTTTAGCCTGGTATATTTCATCTTGTTAAATTTGTCCAAATGTTTTTTTTTTATCCAGAAGATTGTGGTGTCAGCCAACCCATGTCGTTCCTTCCCCCATCCCCCCAACCAGAGCTGACGATAATCAGAGCATAAATTGTCAGTCAAATTCATTGATTTTGTAATGCCTGGGTGAGACTTCACTTCTACAAGTCAGGTCAAGTAAACAGTGACTAACATTTGTGACAACTGGAAAAACAGTTTACTGATCTCTAGCTAATTTAGCATTTCTGTAAAAACTGCATTTGATCTTGAAGATAGGTGTATATTGGGACATGGGATGTATATTCCCAAGCAGGCCTAGCTAATATATGACATCAAAAATTATATCAAACATTCTGCTATTAGTAGCATTTCTCAAAGGCCCCCAAACCATGTTCTGCAAAATCTTAAGGATACTTTGTTAAATAGATTCCTTGGCTCCATCCCATCCCCACTTGCCTGGTTCTCCTGGGGAGGGGCCCTGGAATCTTCACTTTAAACATGTCCCTGCGATGACCCTGATGTTTAGTGAAGGTTGAGAATGGCAGACTTGTAGGATGTCTGGAAAACCTGTGATGATTTCCAGGGGTGTGCGCAATAATATGGTGGGTGGTCCTCTGTGTCGGGCTGCCCATCACTGGCACTACTCCCTGACGGTTTTGGAGCCCAGGGTCTGAGGAGTCAGTGTTTTTAGAGAATCCATTGGTTCAGGAAGCCCAAGGGGAATGGTAGCTAGTGCCAGGGGACTGAGGTGTGTCAGGCACTTGAGCATAAGGATCTCTTATTGTCTTTGTTGGAATAACGTGACAAAGAGCTCTCTGTTCTACAAGTTCTTTATCATCAGAACTGCCTCAAATCCTGAGGTCAGAGGGAGCTTGTCAGGCAAAGTCAGATCAGAGAGTCAGATACCTTATTAGTTGAGTGAGGATGAGTAAAATGGCTGCCTGTGTGGCTTTTAGGTTTTTCACCAATGAACTAGGTTGACAATTCTTGTCCGAATAAAGTAACTAATATGCAAAGCACTGAGCACACACAGTCTCTGGCTTGCAGCAAATGCTGCCTTCAAGGTAGTGATTATTGGATGCCAGTGTCTTACCTTACCCTTATAGGACAGCTCTCAATGCCATGGCATAGGAGGGGCCAAGAACTTTCTCCCCCACCCTTGTTCTTATCTGGGTCCCCTCCGAGAGACACGATCCCTAAGTCCTATCTGTTGGCTTTGCAGGCTGCACCTCCGTTCAGCCCTGGAGTTCCTGGATCTTCTCCCACTCACCATGAATACCTCTCATTCCCTGGATTCCTTCTTCCCAGGATTCCTGCAGGGTAAGAATGGGACCAATCCATTAGATTTCCTCTACAACTTCTCTGATGGCTGCCAGGATTCAGTGGACCTGTTGGCCTTCACCATCACCACCTACAGCATTGAGACCATCTTGGGGGTCCTGGGAAACCTCTGCTTGATATATGTGACCACAAGGCAAAAGGAAAAGTCCAATGTGACCAACTTACTCATTGCCAACCTGGCTTTCTCTGACTTCCTCATGTGCCTCATATGCCAGCCACTCACAGCCACCTACACCATCATGGACTACTGGATCTTTGGTGAAGTCCTTTGTAAGATGCTAACTTTCATCCAGTGTATGTCGGTAACAGTCTCCATCTTCTCATTGGTCCTTGTGGCCTTGGAGAGGCACCAGCTCATCATCCATCCAACGGGCTGGAAGCCCAGCATTCCCCAGGCCTACCTGGGGATCGTGGTCATCTGGTTCGTTTCTTGCTTCCTCTCCTTGCCCTTTCTGGCCAATAGCATCCTGAGTGACCTCTTCCACCACAATCACTCTAAGGCTGTAGAGTTTCTGGAGGACAAGGTGGTCTGCATTGTATTCTGGTCCTCAGACCACCACCGACTCATCTACACCACCTTCCTGCTACTCGTTCAGTACTCTGTCCCTCTGGTCTTCATCCTGGTCTGCTATGTGCGCATCTACCAGCGCCTGCGGAGACAGAGGCGTGCGTTCCACAAGGACACGGGCAGTTCACGAGTCGGGCAGATGAAGCGGATCAATGGCACGCTCGTGGCAATGGTGGCTGCCTTTGCAGTGCTGTGGCTGCCCCTGCATGTGTTTAACACTCTGGAGGACTGGTACCAGGAGGCCATTCCGGCTTGCCATGGCAACCTCATCTTCTTGATATGCCACATGCTTGCCATGGCTTCCACCTGTGTTAACCCTTTAATCTACGGCTTTCTCAACACCAACTTCAAGAAGGATATCATGGCCCTCGTGCTGACATGCCGTTGCAGGTCACCCCGAGGGGAGTCTGAGCATCTGCCCCTGTCCACTGTGCACACAGACCTTTCCAAAGGATCTGTAAGGCTGGGCAGCAAGTCTAACTTCATATAGTCCTGTCTAGGCTTTTCCCTACTGTTTTCTTCTGACAGGTCCTTTCACTTAGCTAAGTTAGACACATTGCAAACTGGGGTAGCATCCTGTTGTTTTTGGCTTTGGCAGCCCCGACAGGCTGGCAAGAGACTTGAAGCTTGACATTCAGATGGTTTAGCCATTTGCTTCTGGGAGAGTTTTGAGTCCAGGTTCTACAGATCACATACACGGTGAACTTTACATTTGAGCTTTAGGGTGTTAGAGCCTAGGATGGCAGACTCTAACATCTGTTCAGCACAGATGCCTGACCTAAAAACCTTCATCCATGGCCTGAGTTGCCCAGCTAACTTGTCCTGCAACATATGCTGTGATCTTTCCAGGGATGCTGGGTATCCCAGGAGCTTTTGGCAGAAGCAGATCCTAGAAGCAGGCTCAGGGAGTTGGAAGCCCATACTAAAGTACTTGTTGAAAGGAACAGGGGCAGTAGGAATGGGCTACCATGAATGTGACTGCCTGACCCATGGAGGTCAAAGTTCAGTGCCCCTCCTGGCTGCTGAACTGAGTTCAGGGGATCATCATGTATGGATTAGACAGCTTGTCCTTAGAAAGAAGGACATGCCATGATTGCTCTTGGCCCACATGGGACATTGCAGCCCAGTTCTGTCTGTGTGGAGGGACCTTCCAATGAAGCAAACACACTAGCCCCATGGGAGACTTGTCCCGCACTGAGCAGTGTCTGATGGGAGACTTGTCCCGCACTGAGCAGTGTCTGATGGGAGACTTGTCCCGCACTGAGCAGTGTCTGATGGGCTTTCTGGCCCGGGTCCCTTACAAGCACATGTGAACTGATGCACGGGACAGGTGCTTTTGGCCGCCACTTCTTCCGTCTCGTCTCAGCTTTTGGTCACCCTTCCAGTCTAGCTCCTTGTTCCTTGATTTTGAGATTTCTTTTGTTTCGTTTTGTTGAAATGGGGTCTTACTATGTAGCCCAGGCTGGCCTAGGGCTCCTGCCAAGTCTCAGCACTGATTAAAGTGTAAACCAACACACAAAATGAGAGATGAGCGAGGCACTCTTGTTCTCTAGTACAGGCTATTGCTGACTTTCAGGCCTACCCTGGCAACATGTCATTGTCCAAAGTGCATGCACACATGCGTGTGCGCACACTCACTCACTCACTCACACACACACACACACACACACACACACACATACACACACACACCAAATAAAAAGCAGGAGCCTCAGACTTCTCCAGACACTGTTCTGGTGACTGGAACTTATGCTTTTCATTAATTAGGCTCAATGAGGCTAAGATGCCAATGGTTCCAATAGGATATTTAGCGATGGTGCTAGAAACGGGGATGCTATGGAGACGCTCCGCTGAGAGTCTTCTGTTTTCCTCCCCACTTGGTTAGGATGACCTTAGTCTACCCGGATGGCTGTTTCCTGATCCCGGTGTCCTGGTGTCTGATGGCCCTTGAGATTTCTTGGTTACCAGCTTCCTTGATGCTTGCCAATCCAAGTATGTTCTGAAGACCAGCAGCCCTTGCACTTGGAGGCTGTTAGATATGAAGACTTTGTCGCAGACGTGCTGAATATGAATCTACTTTTGACCGGAATATGCAGGTTAATTGTAGACACACTGAAGTCAGGAAGCTTTGCTCTGGGAAACAGGTCACCCTGGGACTAGGGGTTATTGGGTGAAAACCTACAAATGCACACTCTGGCATCTGGAGTGGATCCACTGTTGAACTGCTGGAAAGACATGCTCTGTTTCAGCTGTCGTTGCCCTGGCTGCATGTGGACATGTTTCTTGTGACGCTTTTTCATTATTCAATGAAATAAATACTTGCCAAATACCCAGAGTGCAAAGTTCCATTCATAGGGAGCCTGCCCTTTGTATTCTGCTCTATTTCATGTAAGACTATACCGTTAACAGTTTTCCATCAGTTTTGATAACTGCTTACCAGTTCAGAAACTGCTGGCACCTCCCAGTATTTCTATGTAACACGTTACAGTGGAAGGTTGGGGGGAAGGTTCCTATGATGAAGTTAGTAGCTGCTGTGTATGGAGAAATGCTAGGATTAGAACTAGAGACTATTTCCACAAAGCAAGCCTAGGAGTTCTAAGACTGCGAAGCCTTATCAAATCCTGGCAGTAAGAGCACAACCCTAGTTAATGCTAGCCTTTTTCTCTTAAATAAACAACCTTGACTTGCTTTATAAAAGTAATCCTGTTCAAAGATAAACGTATTCCAAAATAAAGTGCAAGTTAAAAAATTATCCACAGTTCCATAGTTGAAGGATAATCACTGCTTATATTTTTGGGACTCATTTTTAGTTAATATATGCATATGTCTGTTTTGAAAATATGATGGAGATTAAATTGTGTATGTATTGATATTTTCATGTATATGCTATTTAAGGATCATGTAATAATATTTAAGGATTATTTCATCTGAGACAGGCTATTGCTGTGACTTAGACTACTGTGGAACTGACTGGATAGCCTAAATTGGCCTCCTACTCTCCTGCCTCTGTCTCTTGAGTGCTGGGATTATAGGCTCGCACGACCACACTTGGCTTAGCTTGAGTTTTTTTTTTCAAGACAGGGTTTCTCTGTGTAACCCTGGCTGTCCTAGAATTTGCTCTGTAGATCAGGCTGGTTTAGAACTCAGAGATCCTCCTGCCTCTGCCTCCAAAGTGCTGGGATTAAAGGTGTGTGTCAATGATGCCTGACTTTTCTTTGTTTTTTCCCTCCCTTTTTCTTTCCCTTCCTTCCTTCTTCCCTCTCATTCTGTCCATCTTTCTTTCATTAACTTGTCCATCAAATATGTTAGATGCTGTATTATCTACAAAGGGTCCAATGGTAAGCACAGTAAGGTCTCTAATTGGTATCTTTAATTATTCCAAAGCTATTCTCTGCTCTTTCTTCTTGCTCTTAAGGTGTAGTTATAAACACATAAAAGATGGAGGCAGGAAAGAGAGATTTATTTATTTTAAAAAAGATTTTATCTTGAATTATGAGTAAGCATGTATCTATGTGTTGGCTTGTGAACCTGAGTGTAGGTGTTCATGGAGACCAGAGGTGTTGGGAAGCCTGGGTCCCAGATTATAGACAATCAGTTATGTAGCACCTGATGATGTGGGTTGGGTGCTGGGAATTGAACTTGGGTTCTCTGTAAGAGCAGTATCTGTTCTTAACCCCAGCTATTTCTCCAACCCTGGGCTGCTGCAGAAGATTCACAGTTTACCGTTATCAAAGTCTTTGTCCAGCAGTACCTGGTCTAGAGGCTATCTCTTTTCCTTCTTGTGCTCCACCCAGCCCTGTGAGCACAGACCTTCCCATGTTCAGCTGCTGGCTCTGTGTGAGGCTGCAGGGGTTCCGTGCAGGACTGTGGTTGTGTGTGAATGAGAAAGGCCTTACTGAGGCCCATGCGTTTGAATACTCAGTCCCCAGTTGGTGTACCTGTTCGGGGAGATGGAGTCCTGCTGGAGGAGGTATATCTGGGGGTGGACTTTGAGGGCAGATAGCTTTGTCACACTTCCTGTTCCTTTTCTCTTTTGACGTCCAGTGTGTGAATGAAATGTGATCTCTCAGCTTCCTGTTCCTGCGCCCATCTTCCCCGTACACTATGGACTCTATTCCTCTACAATCATAAGTCAAAAAAAAACTCATTTCTCTCCTTTTTGTCAGATTATTGTTTTTCACGGCAACAGAAAAGTGACTAATGCAAACATATACTTCATCTAAACTGGGCACTTGAGTCTTGATAATGACCATTCCCGGAAAGCAGGAAAAGCTACCTTGAACGTAGAAATGTGTGGAATCCCACTGTAGATAAGTCCAACCCTTTAACATAGCTCGACCCCAGCAATCTCTCTCTCCAGCCTACCTGGGCTTCACACTTTTATTTATTCCCGCTGTTTTCCCTCCTGCCTCCCCGAAACCCTCTATCCCATTAACGACTAGTGTTTTACTACTGTTTAAGTAAGTAAATCCTACTTTTCCTTCAAAACACAAGTTCCAAGTCACTATTCATGATTGCATTCATCCAACAAATACTGATGACTCATTATGTGGCAGGAACATGGTGAACAAGACTGAAAAGGAATTATCTAAACTGAGATTCTTAATACTGCCTGTACTGGCTGGTTTTGTGTGTCGATTTTACACAAGGTTGCTCAGAGAGGAAGGAACCTCAGTTGAGGAAATGCTTCCTTGAGATCCAGATGTAAGGCATTTTCTCAACTAAGGATCAATGGAAGAGGACCCAGACCATTGTAGGTGGTGCCAGTCCCTGGACTGGTGGTCCTGGGTTCTGTAAGAAGTGGGCTGAGCAAGTCATGGGAAGCAAGCCAGTAAGCAGCTCCCCTCCACGGCCTCTGCATCAGCTCCTGCCTCCTGCCTCTGGGGTCCTGCCCTGTTTGAGGTCCTGTCCTGACTTGAGTTCCTGAACAGCAATGCTGAAGTGTAAGCCGAATAAATACTGCCCTTCCCAACTTTCTTTTTGGTCATGGTGTTTTTTCACAGCAAAAGAAACTGCCTTTTGTGGACCTCTTAACTTACATGTGCAGTTGTAACAGCTGGTTCTAGGAGTGGCACTGTGATGTGCTGCACTCTCCTGTGCTGTGGATTTTGGGTTTGAATAGATACACCCACTATGCTACGAGATTGTGAGCTTCTTGAGAGCAAAGCCCAAGAAGCCCATCTTACGCCCCTGTGACTCTCACAAGCCCTTGGACTCAGCAAATGTTGATTCTTATGGGACATTTGTACTCTGTGTGAAGATGTATTGCTGTGATTGGTATAATAAAGAGCTCAATGGCCAATAGCTAGGTGGGATTTCCAGGGATAGAGAGAAAGGGAAGGAGGAATCTAGGCACTTGAATTATGTCAGCGAGACACCAGCGAGATACGGAGGAAGTTGGACACACAGAATGAAAGGTAAAAAGCCACGTGGTAAAATGTAGATGTAGAGAATCAGGCTAATTTAAGTTACAAGAGCTAGTGGGACAAGCCTGAGCTAAGGCCAAGCTTTCATAATTAGTACTAAGTCTCAGTAACAGTGTTTGTGAGTTGGTAGCTCAAAGAAAAATCTGACTACAGTTGGCCAAGTGCAGAATTAAAGAAAGTTATTTACTTAGCTTAAAGAGGACTTTCTTTCCTAACAACCAGTTCAATGTTTCCCACGAATCTGTTCAGTGTTAATCAAATAAGCCTCTGAATCTCCATTGTCTCTAAAGAACCCCCTACCCACTCCTCAAGTTTTGTGACTTCCAGGAGGATGTATGCCAGGTAAGCGTGACTTGTTTTCTCTTGTTTAAATATTACCACTTACTTGGAATTTGTTCCCTTTGACTCTGAAAAGAGTTTATCAAAGTAGTCAGTTGGAGGCCAGCCCAAAGCTCTCTTAAATGCATATCCATTCCTTCATTCATAAATATATGAATAGGGCATGACTTCCAAAGAAATCAGGCTGGAAATAGGCCACACATTCAGAACAAAGAATACTAGCCCGCTGGTGAAAAACTTTGAAATAGCCCTTGTTGGGGGAGTGTGCTTTGTGAAGCCGACAGTCTGGGCCTCCTTGTTAATGTCATTTGCAGCCCTTTGTGAGTGGTAGATGGATATAAGTTTCCCTAGAGGGAAACCTCTTTTAAGAAGCTTCTATTGGGAGATGGGAAAGATTCCTCATTGGTAAGGTGCTTGCCATGCAGCCCAGAACTCCAGAACCCATGAAAAAGCCAGGAATGCCCGTGTGTACTCATAATCCAAGCACTGGGGAGGCAGAAACAGGCAGACCCTTGGTCTAACCCAATAAACAAGCCCTAGGTCCTAAAGAGAGACCTTGTCTCAAAAAATGAGGAGGAGAATGACTCTTGAGGAACAAAACCCAAGGCTGACTTTTGTCCTCTGTGTGCACCTGTGTACAAGCATGCGGACTCCTCTTTTGACTTATAGACACACACACACACACACACACACACACACACCTTCATCCCACATGAGCAGCAGGAGGGAGGCTGTGTCATTGGCTGTGAGCTCTGGTCTGTTTCCCAGGTTTCTGGGAATTGCCAGAGTAGGTTGCCATTTGGCACTGGAGCCTCATCTCAATGGATGAAAATGAGGAATCTCATTGTTGTTTTTAATTATTCCGAAACTATGTTCTCTTCTATCGTCTTCCTGTTCAGGGGTAGCCTTAAAACACAGGAAAGAAGGAAGTGGGTGTAGACAGTTATGCAGCACCTGATGATGTGGGCGCTGGGAACCGAACTCAGGTCCTCGGCAAGAGCAATACCTGCTCTTAACCCCAGCCCTTTCTGCAGCCCTGGGAAGAGAGATCTATAAACCAGGATAGGAATAAACTAGATGTAGAGGTAGACTCAAATTCGTCATTACATTGTCTCACACAATCAGATCCTGAGACAGACCGCTCCCTTCTGTCACCTTGATTTTTGGCTCTCCAGCAACTGAACTCATGGCCTGTCTCCCAGAGAAGCAAACATCAAACCATGTTGTCTCATAATTGAAACAGACATTTAAGGCAGCCCAATGGACCGCCAACTGAACTCGGGAGTAATGACTGAGACTCAGTCTCATCAGCCTGTGGGTTTTCTGGGTAAGTTTGAGTACGGCCTCCATTCAACTCTTCTTACCTCTTACCTTTAGGTGGGAACTAGAGCCCGATAGACCTGAAGTGTGAGGTCCAGCTCGTGAACCTTCTCCAACCGCAGCTCCCTGTTTGTGAAATGGAGCCCATGAGGCAGTGTTGGCTGACAGAAGGTTCTCGTAGGTTGGTTTTGCTTAAATGAGTGCTCATTTGCTTTGAGAAAGGGTTGCCAGTGAAACATGGGAA